ACTATTTGGCTACTGAGTTTGAGATGAAGGATCTAGGTGGACTCAAGTATTTCTTGGGAATTGAGGTGGCTCGATCACAGCAAGGCATATTTCTCTCTCAAAGGAAATATGTCTTGGACTTGTTGACAGACACATGAATGCTAGATTGCAAACCTGCGGACACTCTTATTATTCAGAATCATCATCTTGGAGAATATCCGAATCAAGTTCCAACTAATAAAGAAAGATACCAAAGGTTAGTCGGAAGATTGATCTACTTGTCACATACTCGACCAGACATTGCTTATGCGGTGAATGTTGTCAGTCAATTTATGCACTCTCCAAGTGAAGACCACATAAATGCAGTTCTTCAGATACTTAGATATTTGAAGTCTGCACTTGGAAAAGGACTTATGTTCTCAAAACATGGTCATCTAAATATTGATGGTTATTCAGATGCAGATTAGGCAGGTAATGTAACAGATAGAAAATCCACATCGAGTTACTTGACATTCGTGGGAGGTAATTTGGTGACATGGAGGAGTATGAAATAGAATGTAGTAGCTTTATCCAATGCAGAAGCCGAGTTCAGAGGCATGACTAAAGGGATTTGTGAACTTCTTTGGTTAAGAAAGTTGCTTACTGAACTTGGGTATAAACCTACATTCACAATGAATCTCTTTTGTGACAACAAGGCTGCTATAGCCATTGCACAGAATCCAGTTCAGCATGATCGTACTAAACATGTTGAGGTGGATCGACACTTCATCAAATAGAAGCTTGAGGCAAAAGTGTTTCAGTTTCCTTTTGTGAAATCTGAGGATCAATTGGCAGATATTTTGACAAAGGCGTGACTTGTGGAGCATTCCACAATTCACTAGATCAGTTGGGCATTAGCGACATCTATGCACCAACGTGAGGAGGAGTGTTGACGTGACTTGTGGATATTGACTTACTTTCCTTACACACCAAGAATTCCTATTATAATTGTAATTGATTTACTTTAATTCCTGATTTTCTACTGTAAATAGATTTAGGAATTTATTATTTACTTGCCCATTCAGGTTTCGTTGTATTATAAATACGACCTACTACAAGGAGAAGAATACACAGAAAATTCTCACAAACAAATATTCTCTCATAGTTCTCATATTTTAGCAATATTTACCTTGATGGAGAAAGAGTCCCTCGTTGGTGCGTTGAACCTCAAGACCCAAGAAATAATGTAAGGGACCCAAGTCCTTTACAGGAAACAAAGAGCTCAGTTTCTTGATGAAAAGATTGCACACTGATGAATCTGGACCGCTGACCAAGATGTCATCCACATAGACAAGGACAATAACAAGAACTGGAACCTTGAGAACAAAGAGGGATGCGTCAGAAGATGATTGAGTGAAACCAAGAGACTGGAGAGCCTGAAACAATTTATCAAACCAGGCCCTGGGAGCCTGTTTGAGGCCCTACAAGGACTTTTTGAGTTGACACACATGATTTGGAAAGTTTGGATCACTGAAGCCAGGTGGCTGATGCATGAATACTTCTTCTTTTAAATCACCATGAAGGAAGGCATTATTAATATCAAGTTGATGCAGAAACCAATTGAATTGCACAGCAAAAGTTAACAAAATTCTGATAGTGACAGGCTTTGCCACAGGACTAAAGGTTTCCTGATAGTCCAAGCCCTCTTTTTGATGAAATCCCTTGGCAACGAGCCGAGCTTTATACCTGTCAATGGTCCCATCAGGCTTTTTCTTGATTCTAAATACCCATTTACAGCCTACAACATTCTGGGATGAAGAAGAAGGAACCAAGATCCAAGTTCCAGTTGATTGGAGGGCATTAAATTCAGCTTGCATGGCAGATCTCCATGCAGCAAATTTAGAGGCCTGATGATAGGTTGTGGGGACATAATCAAGAGAAGATGATAAAGGGTGTTTGGTAGCAGTATAAGCTTTAGGCTTAAAAATGCCATTCTTTGATCTAGTAACCATAGGATGAATATTTTGACCTGGTAAAGATGGAGAAGAGGAGTGAGATTGCAAAGGGCTGAAATTGTGTGGTGATACAAATGCACTAGTATTAGGAGTATGGGAAGAAGGATGGATGGAGGGAGAACTTGGTAAGATAGAGTGTGAGTTAGGAATGGGAAATTGCAGGTCAATAACAGGAGATAAAGTAGGGATAGAATCAGAGGGGATGCGGACTTGGCAGTAAAGGGAAACGACTTCTCATAAAATAAGACATGCCGAGAGATATAGACTCTGTCAGTGATCATGTCTAAGCACTTATAACCCTTATGCTGTAAACTATATCCAAGGAAAACACACTGCTTGCTCTTGCCATCAAGTTTAGAGGAAACATAAGGTTTTAACCAGGGGTAACAACTACATCCAAAAATCTTTAGCCTAGTATAATCTGGTAATGTATGAAATAAAAGCTCCCATGGAGATTGCGCAAGACCATAAATGGGCAACCTGTTGATCAAGTAAGTAGCAGTGGATATAGCTTCAACCCAATAAACTTTAGGAACATTAGAAGCCACTAACAATGTTCTAGCTGTTTCGACAAGATGCCTATGCTTTTGTTCTACACAGCCATTCTGTTCAGGTGTATGTGGGCAACTGAACTGATGACAAATACCATGCAAATTAAGATAAGACTGAAAAGAAGCACTAGTGAATTCACCCCCTGAGTCAGAACGGATAGCCTTTATTTGATTACCAACAGATTTTTCCACATATGTCTTGAAAGTTACAAAGGTAGAATACACCTCAGATTTTCTTCTCAAAGGAAAGAACCAGCTATATCGGGTGTAATCATCTACTAACAGCAGGTAATACTGAAAACCACTCACAGAAGTTACAGGGGCAGGTCCCCATACATCACAATGAAGTAAAGCTAGACTATGGGAAGTAGATGAACCAGCAGGGTGAAAAGGCAGTTTATGATTTTTAGCTATAGCACAATCCGAACAGAAGAAATCAACGGAAGATTTATCTTGCAGTGCAAGCTTATTACCAGAAATCACTTTTCGAAAAATATTGGAGGAGGGATGACCCAATCTACTATGCCAAATCTGCACTGGAGCTTTAATACTGACAAATGCTGAAGAAGAAATTGAAGAAGCAGTACCAGGTGAAGGAGAGCTTTGCAAAGGATAGGATCCATCTCTAACTGGTCCCCGCAAAAGCATCTTCCCCGTAAAACGATCCTTGACAAGGGATCCATCAGAATCAAGTGTCAATGAACATGAATTGTCTTTGACAAATTGAAAAGCAGACAGCAAGTTGTGCTTCATTTGAGGAACATGAAGGACATTTTTCAATTTAAAGGAAGTACTGGGAGTATGTAACAAAGAGGAACCAATATGGTTGATGGACAGACCTTTACCATCACAAATATAGACTTTGTCTTCACTGGTGTAAGGAGATGGAGAAGATATGTTGGAGATTTCATTGGTAATGTGAGAAGTTGCGCCAGAGTCAATGAGCCAGGAAGGAGAGGGCTTTGATGTATAGTGCGCACACATTGCAGCAAGCTTGGTGGGAGGGATTTTACCAGAAATTGCAGGATTCATGCGATCATAGCAGTCTATGGCCTCATGACTTGTATTTTCACAGATCTGGCAAGGAACATGAGCACCAGAGGAAAAGGAAACACGAGAGTTGGAATTATGACCACGATTGAAACCAGAAGGGAAGCCAGAGTTGTGGTTGCCCCGATGAGAGCCAGAATTGTAGTTGCCCCGATTATTGCCATAGTTGCCCCGATTGTTGGAAAATTGATTGTTCCTGCCACGATTGGAATTATATCGAAAAGAGTTTTGAAGCGGTGGATGTTGAGCAGCAAATGCCTGAGAAACGGTTCAGTGGTTGCAGAGGAGGCAATTTTCTTCCTTCGAGTCATGGAAAGCTCCTTTGTGAGTAATAAACCATGTAATTCATCAAGAGATGTTGAAGAGAGACGGAGCATGATAGAATCAATGAATGATTCAAACTCATCAGGAAGCCCAGCCAGTGTAGCAGCAATAAGATCGCGATCCGAAACCGAAGCTCCGGTTGTAGTGAGGGAATCAGAGATTTCCTTGATCTGTTGCAGATAATCAGCCATTGTTTGGGAGCCTTTCTGAATACGCTGAAGACGAGAACGAAGCTGATGAATATGAGCATCAGAAACACCACCAAAGCGTTGCTCAAGTTTGAGCCACAGATCTCTGGACGAAGAAACACCAATAGTAAACGGAATGACTTCCTCAGAGAGTGTTGAATTGAACCAGATGAGAAGATTCTGATCCTTCTCATACTAACTCTCGTAAGCAGGATTGAGTGATCGATCTAGTAAAAATGGCACCGGACAAGGCTCAGTTCCATCAATAAGTCCAAGAAGCTTCTAGCGACGAAGAATTGGGGCAAACAGAGCACACCAAGGTAGATAATTCGAACGCTTGAGCTTGATCGGCACCATGCTACCGATGTTTTGAATCGTAAGAGAAGTGTAGGTTTGGGGCGAATTAGGGTTTGAAAAGGAAGAATTGGGATTCTGAGTGGGGATAGACGGAATCGGAGAAGAGGATTCAAGAGGTGACGCCATCAGAGATGAAGGAGACAAAGAATCAAGAAAAAGAACAGCAACAGTCAATTGCTTACAGATCAGAGATCAAACTAGAGATCGGAGCACAGAAGCGGAAGAGACTAGGATCGAAGAGTGCCGTGAGGCAGTGGCGATTGATACCATGAAGAAAACAAAGAAACCAGAGAAACAAAGGAAAACAGAAGAATAGTTTTACTGAATAATCCTCTTTTCATTTACTAACTTTTCTTTCTTAATTACATTTACATTTGAGGTGTATATATATAACCAAGGCTGTACTAAACTTTCCCTAACAACCTGCTGTAACAAACATAACAGCTTAATAAACTAAATGAGCTGTCATGAGTCATGACTTGGCATCTTTAGCTTTAAACATTGCTGAAAGCGTGAGATGCAAAATAGAGAAGATGAGCAAGCTGAATGAAACACACGTCTTTGTAAAAAATACACCACTTTTTGGTCAATAAGGGTAAAACTATCCTTTCACGTACTAATTTAAAAATGCCCAATTGATTCAGTTTTTCCAAAAAAAAAAATTAAAAACCCATTCACCAAACCCAAAACAAAATTAATCCATTATCATATCCTTATCAGTAAACATCTTTATCACTAACAACTAATTTTTCTTTTTTTTTTTGGTCTGAAACAACTAATTTTTCTTTACTTTCAAAATAATCAAAATGTTTTATTTTTACCAAACATTTTAAATTACTTAACTTTAATGCGAAACAATTTTTTTTAATGAAAAAAACAATCACCTTAATTTACTTTAAAAAAATCTTGGGAGAAATTACAAATATGGTAATAGTTGGGGGTGATTGAGTAGTTTACTCAGAAAAATGTGTGTATTGGTAGAAAAACTTATATGAAACGGGAATATCACTATTTTGTTATCTCCAATTAATCACAAATTGCCACATAAAAAAATTGTCATGCATAACATGTCGTGATTAGTTGAAATAGAAAAATAATGCTACCTTCGTTTCACACGAGTGTTAAACACGTACCAAAAGAAAAAGTAGAACAGAGATGAGGACACCTGTGGTCGTGTAAGAAAATTCCCCATTTAAAAACGTACCTCTCTTTCTCTTTCACTTTGTATGTGTATCTCTCTCCTTGACGGCCTAAACTAAACAACCAACCAACCAACCAACCGAAAAAGAATCCTTTCTTTCTTTGTTTCAATCGATGGTGGGTGACGGCTTTATCATTAACCACAGCACGAACAGTTCCAACAAATTAGAGAGCCCAAAGAAAACAAAGAAGAAGAAGAAGCGTGGTGGTACCAAGAAGAAGATGACCACCGAGCAGACTTTGGCTTTCAAGTCTGTGAGTGAATGGGTTTTCTTGGAACAAGCTTCTTCACTGCCTTCCACTGCAGCTTCTTGTGTTGTCGATGATTTTGGGGTACAGAAGAGCCTTGGAAGAGGTGGAGACAAGGTAGTGTTCGAATTGCATTCACATTCAAAATGCAGTGATGGGTTTCTTTCGCCTTCCAAGTTGGTGGAGAGGGCTCATGGAAATGGGGTGAGTTATGCTTGTATTGATTTTGGCTTTTTTAATGGTTAAATGGGTTCTGGCTTTTTTATTTTTTATAAATATATTAATATATTTATAAATTGTGTGTAGTAATTTTTTTTTTTTATGGCTCAACATTCAAACTGGGTTTCAATGAAAAGCTCGTGTGGGTGCCGGTTTTTGAGTTCCTGTAGTTCTATTTTCTATGGTGTAATTTCTTTGTTGATATTTAGATGATTTATTTTCTTCTTAAACCACTTTCTTAAAACCCAACGAGCACGCTGAAAGAGCATAATAGACCCTACACCTTTTGAGCATTTTAATTTTCTCTTAAGTTCTGGTTGTGTCTAGGAGAGAGATTCTGTATAGGTCAAGATGCAACATCTTTGACCCATTCAGGGTGTTTTGTCTCTCTTGAAAGAGATTAGCAGAATGAGGATCCACAGTACAACAAAGGACGCTTCTTACTGTGAGATTTAATTAGACTCGGGATTATATCGCCATCTCAAGCTGACCCAAAGATTATGGCTTCAAAATAAGAATGTATGACATAACGTTAAGTTCTTGCAAACCTTTGTATGAAGATGATTTTTTAGATAAGTCAATTTTCATTTGTCAGATTCGTAGATTGGAAAATTCATGGCTGTTGGCCCAGCCATTAAAAGCTAATTATTATTGATTGACGAAGTCATTCTGGTAGCTTTTATAAGGTGCTATCATAGGTATAGATGGTAATTATTTGAAGGCAAGGAGGCTCTGCCTTTAGATGATACATTTTCTGAAGCATGGGTTCGAGGACTGCTTCCATTGGTTTGCATGTGTGTGTGGGGGGGAAGAGGGCAAGAGGCCAAGTAAAAACTGTCTAAGTTAAATTGAGGATATTTTAGTTGCAAATGTTCGTGAACCACCAAGAGACTCCATTATGTATGTAGGATATAACATGATATTGGTAAGCTTTAAACATTCATGCATCGTGGCAGCGTAAATTATAAATCCGTACTTGTTTATTCAATCGTTTATGCTTTTAGTGAGCGGATACATGCAAATGAAAGATGATGGAAAGTGCATTGTATCTAGTTAATCATCAGGTATTTTGAGAATTTAGACTGTTCTGGATGTGCATATACCATTGTTTTTGATGGGTTAACCGTCTAGTTGCTATATGTGTAGGACAGAATAATTTGTTTTCACCTTACTCACTGAAAGAAGGGTGTTTATTTGGACTTTAAGAAGAAAAGGGGATTCAAAAACAGAAAACAGAATGAGCTTTGTGGAGCACTGTAGTAGCAAATATGACCTGGTTTCGCATTGAGTTGGAGTCAGCTACTACTATTTCCAGCATGAGGGGAGTGTTGATAATATTGCTGTTTACAGCATGTTAGATTGGCTTGTCTCTGTCATTGTCTCAGTTCTAGTCTTGCTCAGATCTCGTTAAGTTTTTGCGATAGCTGTTAAGTTTGTCTTTTATTCTACTTGCAGCAAGCTGGGAGTTGTTGATATGTACTCTCCTGCTTCAGGGGGAGCCTCATTGATGAAGGCGATAAAAAAGCCTTATTTTTGAATGATATAGCTAATTTAGTTTGCTGATTTGGTTAGCTAATGCAGGGCTACTGATTGACATAATTTAGTATATTTGGTTGGGCTTGTTTGGATGGTTTCAAGGGATTATTCTAGGTAATTTTCGATTTTTTATGTAGGGTGCTACGTAAGGCTATGTATATTACTCAATTAAATCCATGAAACATTTGGTACTCTTCAGCTTTTCTTAATTTTCTCCTCAACAGCTTTTCTTTTGGGTGTAACCGATGTTTGTGATAGCCTCACAGTTTTGTATTAGAAGTTTTTTGTCCAGAAAAACTATTGTGCTTATATTTTGAATACTTAAAATTCATACTGCAATGTAGTGAGGTTTAATTAGTATATGTGGTCATAACAGGTGAAAGTTCTTGCTCTGACAGATCATGACACGATGTCTGGCATACCTGAGGCCCTGGAAGCAGCTCGGAGATTTCGCATAAAGATAATTCCAGGTGTTGAAATCAGTACAAAATTCTACCCAAGGTAATTTTTGAAAGCTATGCTTTCTGGAAGCCCTTAAATTGTGGACCCATTTTTTTTAAGGTTGATTACTCGTGTTCCCCCTAATACTCTGTATTGTCTTATGTTACTCATAGCACTTATTTGGAGATTTATGATCAGAGAATGCCTTTGTGTTTTCTTTCCGTCTGAACCTGAAGAATCATGTCATGTAATACCTTTTTTCGTATAAAATCTGCACGAACTTCACAAAGAAATCAGTTGCAAGAGTGTTGAAAATAATCAGCCTTTGGGGAAGCTCTATTTGAACCCAAATTTTTCGTAAGTTTACCCTGCTTAATATCTACACCACCCAACTTTTATTAAATAAATCAAAAAATTGTAGGTACACCCAACCCACAGTCCAAAACAAGCCCCACTATCACCCAAACTGACTTACCTATCTAATTTGGAAGTAAAGCCAATTGACGAACCACACCCACACCCACCCACTTAATTTTGGACATGAAAAGCTGCACTGCACCTATGTCCCCTACGCCACTGAAAACAGCAAGAAACCTTCTTCACTAATGTTTGGTTTTGCTAACATTTCAGAAATGCAACTGAGTTTGGACTGAAATATCTGGGTATAAGTGTGCTGTTCAATGCTGGTTTGGTGTTTTATTTGAGAATTTGGATTTGATTTATTTTGCACTGTCAGATTTGGTGTGCCAAATCTCCATGAGTAGATTCAGTAGTATGCCATCAAAATGCACATGGGAGGGTTTTGTGGGGGAAAGGCCAAGCGGACTAAAAAAAATATTTTTGTTTTCTGGCACCACATTTCTGAACCTTAAAACAGGATGTTCGGGACCACACTGCCGAAATGTTACATTATGCCAGTCTTTGTGTGCCGAACAAGTCTTTATTCCAGTTATATGAAAGATGAAAAATTTGTAGTTAAACTTGGAAAAGTCATATTTTAAGACCCACAATCCATGATTGGAGTGTCCATAGCCACTGACAGTAACTGTTTTGTTTACACCAATGTATGATGGAGTTAGCATAGGGAATGAATAAAGTAGTCTTTATGGTTTTTGGTGGGAGGAGATGAGTGCTGGATGTGCTCAGTTTTTTTTTGTAAAGATACCATTTTCAAGTCTTTTTTTCTTTCAAACCAGCCATGTTATTTAATTGTCATTTTACTCTAACGTAAATGTGTAAGTTTATTTTTCTTTAAAAGGGCAAGTTTATTTATGAAATTATTTGTTATATTATTGGCAACCTCAAATTTAATAGCAAATAATCAGCATATTTAACGACACGAGGAAATATCCCCTTTCCTTAGTTTTCAACACCTCTGATGCTTTGCACAATGGTTTTAGAGGAGATTCTGAACCAGAGGAACCAGTACACATCCTTGCATATTACAGCAGCTGCGGGCCAACAAGTTTTGAAGATCTGGAAAAGTTCTTGTCTAATATAAGGGATGGTCGTTATCTTCGTGCAAAAACTATGGTTTCCAAACTGAACATGCTCAAGTTGCCTGTTAAATGGGAGCATGTCTCAAGGATTGCAGGCAAGGGAGTTGCTCCTGGGAGACTGCATGTGGCCCGTGCGCTGGTTGAAGCAGGTTATGTGGAAAACCTGAAACAAGCTTTTTCCCGCTATCTTTTCGATGGTGGACCTGCATACTCGACGTAATATTTTGAGCTTACTGTTATATCTTTTTCTGAATACTGTTGATGCATATATATATGACAAATAAACCATTGTAAAGAATTATTTATGTTGAATGGGTTCAGGGGAAGCGAACCTCTGGCAGAAGAAGCAATACAAATGATTTGTGATACAGGAGGTGTGGCTGTGCTAGCTCATCCTTGGTCATTGAAAAATCCAGTGACCATCATAAGAAGGTTGAAAGAAGCTGGTCTTCACGGGATTGAAGTTTACAGAAGTGATGGAAAACTGGCTGGTATGCAATCTGAGATGCAACTATTTGCTGCTTTATGTATAATTTGTAGTTTACGCTGTGAAGTCAATGCTACATAATGTATTTGACTTGTACATCTTCGTCTTTAAAATTATAATTGATGTCAGTGTTTTTCTGGAATACATTTACTACTCATGGATCTCTCTCCAAGAATATAAAATGATTGAGGGGGTTGATTTCAACTTGGTTTCATTTCATGTACAATGCTGGAAGAAATATCTTGGTAGAAAAGGAAATTCTCTTATAAGATAGATAGAAGAGAATGTCGTATCTTTCCAGACTTAAAATGCTCCCAACTCACCATTCTATATATATACATCGGGGCCATAGGAGCTAGGTGTCAGTTTATTGTTTGTTGTCAAAAAGTGTGCATGTCAGATGCCATTCAATGAGTTTCTATTGCACAATGGTTTCAGTAAGACTCAATCTTTTCCATTTTGTAATGCATATACTTTGTGAGTTTCTGGATGGAACAGTTCCCAACTGACATGCATGAACACTTAGATCATGTGCCTGTTGGGTTCACTATATAAATGTGATAATTGACTTTCTTGTGGTATGAGTACTAAGCAAATACTGGTTTTCTTCTGGTATTTACCTTGGAAAAAAAAAGTGAAGTTAGTTTTTTTCTTATGTTCTTTTTTTATTTGAGTTTTTTTCTCACTCAGTACTCATATCTCTATCTGCTGATTTTGTCAACAGTGTACAGTGATCTAGCTGACACTTATGATCTTCTGAAGCTTGGAGGGTCAGATTATCATGGGAGAGGTGGGCATGGTGAGTCTGAGCTGGGTAGTGTGAACCTTCCAGTGCTGGTTTTGCGTGACTTTCTTAAAGTAGCTCGGCCAATTTGGTGTCGTTCCATTAGACACATTTTAGAAAATTATGCCGAAGAGCCTTCAGATTTTAATCTAGCAAAGATTACAAGGTTTGGGAAGGGAGTTTCCCCCTTAAGCTGCGGCAAGGATTTGATTGATCGCTGCTTGTCTTCGTGGTTGACAAATGAAGAGAGGCAAAATGCAGTTTTCGAGGCCGTCAGATTGAAGCTTTCTCATGTTTCAATTAATCAGGGAGGAATCCAGGTTCCTATAGAGAGTAAATAATCCCTATCTAATTCATATATTTTCCTGTACCAATCTTTCATGGAGGTGATGATATCTAATTTATTATTCTAACTATTTTTAATATTTTTAATCGCATTTTTGCATTTGCCGTGAGATATTAAAATCTTACGAGTGGAAGACTGAGCAGTTGTCAGAAATCCCAGAGAAGGATGACAATAGCTTGTCTTTGATTTTTCTACACCTGCTGTAAAATCAGATTTTTGATAGAATGTCCATTATTTTTACAGGGGATTTTCTTTCTATCGTTTAGCAACACGGGCATAGATTTTAGTTTTTCGTCCTGTTATCCATAAATGTTGGGCAAATGCGCTCTTTTGACTCTGGTTTACACCCTCAGTTCTTAAATTATTATTATTTTTGTCTTCGAAGCAGTAAGATCATTTAGCTATCTGCGAACTATGGAAAAATGCATACGCGAATACAATGTTTTAGATAGGAACACAAAAATATTTCTGGATTGTGATAAGCGAATGGCTAATGTATTTTTCATTAATTCTTGTATTTGCATGGATTGTGAGAAGACATTTTCGGCAACCACGGCAGCCAATAAGAAGGTGACACGTGGAAAAATGAATATGTCTTAGGTCAATTAATTATTCTAATTAAATTATATAATTAGGGAATTATCTTTGATTTAAGATAGGTTTATTTTCCTAATTCAAGGAGATTTGATTTTCAGCAAACCTCTTCAATCCTATCACCTATTTTTGGGAAGGGATTATTCTTCAAACCCTAGAGGCTATAAATAGTTGGCATCACACCATATTTGAGGTAATTCTAAAACCCTAGCAATTTTCTCTCTCTCTTTCTCCTCTCTCCCACACTGCTCCGGCGTCAATTAGGTATCGGAGAGCTTTTGGTCAACACCCTCGGGTATGGTGTCGTATGTTGACTCCAATTTATTTTACAAGGAGCGAGGAAGAAGGAGAAGAAAAAAATTCAAAGGGTGAAGAATCTATCCGTGAATATTTGCACAAATAGATATCTTTCAAGGATGGAACAAACAAAATGTGGACTGTTTGGATTATAAAACTACATTTTGAGTTGTATCTAGACTGGTAATTTACTGGATTCAGGTATGTATGGTTGAAGTTAGGCGTGGGCTTGTTTATAGGATCTCTCAAAGTCAAGTAACAGAACTTAAGGTATGTTTGTATAGGGAAAATATGATAAATTAAAAAATGGGCTAAGGACAAAACACCCTATGCATGTTTGAGGTCATTCTTATGAACCCTCAGGTTTTAATTTCATCGATTTACTCCTCATAGTTTTCAAATTTAATCAATTTACGCCTTCCGTTAAGTTGATTGTTTAGTCAAACGACAAGCCCACTATGGGACCCACCCACTAACTAACTCCTATATTTTTTTATTATATAAAATGATAAAATAGCATAATTACAAACAAACTTAAAAAACCCAGATGCACAACCTTCCCCACCCCTTCTTGACGATGCACAACCGCACCCACCCCGGTATAGAGGTGTCAAACGGACTGAGTCAGCACGAGCACAGCTCGTTTATGTAAGGCTCAGCAAAGACGACTTATATCTTTGGGCATGCTGAGATGAGGTAATTAGGCCCAATGGTTGGGTCAGCCCGTGGCCCATTGCGGACTGTGACAGCTTGAAACCCAACTAGCCAACCCATTTATTAAATTATATTTATTTTAGAGAAAATTAGTACATAATATTAATACATTTATATCTTAAATTCAAGTCTATTTATTTTCTCTAATAATATATACTAGCCCCTTGACACACGGCTAATTTTTTTTTTAATAAATATTTTAAATATTATTTTAGAATTAAAAAAGATAATGGGTAGTTGTTTTACATAAAAATAGGACCCATTATATGATTTTGTTTAAATATGAAAAAATTGTGAATTTACCATATTATCTTCTTTTAATCAATAATTTCAATTTTTAATGTTTGCATTAACAAAGGCCATTTTCTGGTATTTTAAATGTTTTACCCATTCTCTGTCTTTTGCTTTGTATATATATATATATATATTTTTATATCAAAATTTAATATTTTCTTTATATATAAAACAATGATTTTCTTTTTTAAGTTTCGTTTTTTAGGGACGTTCTCCAATAAGTATTTAAGTTAAGAATTAGTTACATACTTCTAATATCGGTCGTTGAATTACATCTAAGAGACTATCAACAAATTTAATGAATGCAATCTAACGGTCAAGATTAGAAATATGTAACCAATCTTTAATGTAAAATACTTATTGGAGAATCTCTCTCATTTTTAAAATTCAAACAATAATTTAGTCATTTTCTATTTAAATGTACGTTAAATAAAGTTATTGGCCTCGAACAATCTCAGAGATGCCCTTTTTTCTGCTTTTTTTTCCATGGGGACTCGAACAATCTCAGAGATGCCCTCAAGTATTCACCTCTAATGGTTCCGTCAGAACACATGAATGCAAGACATGATGAGTTAAAGGACGTGAGAAATAGAAGTGGTTGATAGTTGCAGAGAATTGAACCCCCAATCATGCCTTCCACCACAAGCCCACAAAAATTCAACCCCCAATAAAGAATCATAGAAACCCAATATAATCAAATCTGTTTGGTTTTTGAGAAACCTTACGAAAATGAAGAAATTGAAGTTGAGGGAGCTTGGAGGAGAAAGAGACGGAGAGAAAGGGACTGAAGGAAGGAGGGGGTTGTGGTGTGGGATGGGGTTTGGTTGGGGGAGGCTGTGCGTCTAGGTTTTTTTATATAATTATTTTAGTAATGCTATTTTATTATTTTATATAAATAAAATTTAGAATTGTTAGTAGGTGGTTCCACAGTGGACACGTTATCAGTTAACAGATGATCAAACGGTCAACTTAACGGAATGTGTAAATTGGTCAGATTTCAAAACTATGAGATGTAAATTGATGAAATTGAAACCTGAAGGTCCATATTGAGAATGAGCCCAAATATGCAGGGGTTGTTTTGTCATTAGCCCGTAAAAAAAAAGACAAAAACCCTCCAAAATAAAGGGATGCGTAAGCCGGTTAATATCAACAAATGGGCAAAGACTAAAGCATAAGGACACATAACCCTAATCTCCATAAAAAGAAAACAATACATGCCCAATGTTATAAAATAAAATAATCAGCGTATGAAAATTACCACAGAATATTGGGAGTAAAATTATATTTGCTTTTTTGGTGTTTACACTGACAGAATTCTCTCAGATAGAACTCACTAACACTTAGATTTCACACTCTCTCTTCTTTCCTCTCACTCTTCCTTTCTTCTCTTCCTTTCTTTCCTCTCTTCTCTGTTGGTGTGTTTTGCTAAGTAATGGGAAGCCTATTTATAGGCAAATTGAATGGCTTACCCAACATCATCATTAAGCTCCAACATCATCATTAAGCTTTTTGAATATTATTTCATTCTTTTCTTTATGTGGGCTCTACCATTTTCTTTATAACATTCCCCCTTGGAAACCACAATGTATGGAATATGCCTCATTAAAAACCTTGCTAGTAAAACCTAGTGGGACAAAAGCTGGTCGAAGGAAAAAGAGTACATAACCATGTGTAACATAAAATTATGTGTATATTGACATGTGCGACACTACCTCGTTAAAACCTTGCCAGGAAAAACCCAGTGGGATAAAAATCTGGACGAAGAAAAAAGAGTACAGTGTGTGAAGATCTTTATTGATAGCATGTTCCCCCTGATGCTTGGCAAAATATCTTTTAAACCATATCGTTGATCATATTTCTGAATGTCATAGTTGACACTGCTTCTGTGAGTAAGGATTGAAATATCGGCCGATACACCGATATATCGGTATTTTCAACTGCCTACACCGATACTGGGGGGTAAGGCCATATCTTCCCCTGTATCGACGATATATCCCCGATAAGTGCGATATTCCCGATATTTTGCCGATATCCCCGATATTTCCCGATACCCATAACTGAACCCAAAAAAAATTCAGAAGTTTTGAAGGCAATTAAAGCAAATTGAAACCCAAAAATAGCTAATCCTTGCTCAAAACTCTATAATTTATTAATATGAAGAATCTATGCACATTCCACTACCCACATATCTCCAATCTATCTGAAGAGGACATGGCGTTCAGTTTTGAATCTATGAGCATAGGAACTAGACCTAGTACTAACTCAAATGAATCTTATGATGTCTATGTCTATGTTTATGTCACGTCTAATTATAGTGGAACTAGTTATGAAGCTCAAGATGCTAAAAAAAATTATGGACCTACTAGTTGGTTAATCCTAACTATCCCATATACGGGAGGACAATAGGGAGCTCAAGAGAGACCTATGTGCACTATGTTCAAACATGACTTACAAACTGCTCGGGTTACATGACTTGGTATGACTATTGTATGAATCTAGATGGTTGTTCCTCATTGTTTGAACCTCATTGAAGCTCTTCATTTATGTAGATGGACACTTATCTAAATTGTAATACAATGTTTAAACAAACTATGGATTTATGCATGGTTTATTCATTCTAATTAACATTTTATTTTCAAACTTTTCATTAATGCGCATTACATACCACTTATATTTCATCATATGTATATCTTATTATTAGTAAATTTTGAGTTTTATTTGTTCAATACATTCATTGATAATGTACAGAACATCTATGAAAGTTTTACACAAAAATTATGTGTTTCAATGCCTATATCTGTCATTTTTGTTGATTTTTTCCCGAAACCTAAAACGATAACGATATATCCCCCGAAATATCCGTAAATTGGAGGCCCGATATTATCTGCACGGCCGATATTTTAATCCTTGTCTGTGAGTCAATCTTGTAATATTGTTGGATGCTCCCCCTGAAGAATATCTTCCCCTCATATCTTCATGACTATCTTTCCTGAGGGAATATCTTTTGAATTGAGTGAATGATGTAGCCATCAACAATTCATGTAGTTGAGTAAGCAAATGTATTTCCAGTGAGCTATCTCTATGTAAATCATAGAAATTTCCAGAGTCCGCAAATCAAACAAAAACCTGTTCACTTGAAAAGAATATGCATGTATATTGTTTTATGTGGATATGGCATCAAATATGTCTCACATCATCCCAAAGTGGTGGTGATGGAGCTGAGCTCTATGTGGAAAGTACAATGTCCGGTCCAGTATATTTCCAGAAAAATCATTTAAGTGCCCAACAGATAATCCGCATAAAAATACTTCAACACTTTCTTAGTATAAGTAAGAATCTCATTGGCATAATTCTCGATCTTCAGGCTGAGACAAATATTTCTTGAACTCTTCAGGAGTTTTAATCAATTATCAACTTTTTAGGAGTTGTAATGTATT